TGTGCTTTATTTTGCTTTATTGCACTCAGACACTGCATTTTTTACAAATTGAAGGTAAGATGCTTCACCAGCAAAAAGATTACAACTTGCTGAAGGCTCAGGTGATGGCTAGCATTTTTTAGCAATAAAGTATTTTTTAATTAAAGTATATACATTGGTGTTTTTAGGCGTAATGTTATTGCACACTTAACAGGCTACAATGTAGTGTAAACATAAGTTTTATATGCTCTGGGAAACCAAAAAATCTGTGTAACTCACTTTATTGCGATATCCACCTTATTGCAGTAGTCTGGAACCGAACCCGCAGTGTCTCCGAAGTATGCCTCTTATAGAAAGTCCAGAATTAGCTTCAATAAATAAAATGTTGATGAAGGTTTTATTTCAAGTCAGTAGGGGAAAGATGGAATTAATAACTGGTATTGAGAGATCTGGCTGGCAGTCTAGGTCCACGCTTCATACTGCACTTAGGATAGTTTTGAAATGGGCCTCGCATTTAATGAAACATAATGCAGCTATACAAGTACTAGAATCAAGTTTGGGCGATTATTTTATAACCTCCAAGCAAGGAAGCCAGAACAAAAAATGAACAACAACAAAAATAAACTTCTACTTTTCGGAAGATACCAGAAGCAAAGTCAAAAGTTAAAATTAAGGAAAAAAATTTGCAACTTTGTCACAGAGTCAGTCTCCTTAATGTATAAGAGAATGACTAACAACCCTGTAGAAAAAAGCAAGCCAAAATTATGAACAGACAGTACATAGAAAATGCATATGGCATTTCAGTATTTGAAAGATACTTAACCTCATTCATTACAGAGAAATGCAAATTGAAACTTTTAAAAATTAAACATTGAAACTCCAGTGAGCTACCATTTTTCACCCACCACATTGGCAAAAATTCGAAAGTTTGGTAACACACAACATTGGCAAGAATGTGCAGAAACGGGCTCTCCCAAACGTTGTTGGTGGAAGTGTAAATTGCTCCAACTCCTCTGGAGGGCAATTTGGCAGAATTTATCAAAATTACAAAAGCATATGCCCGTTGACACTTGAAGCAATTCCACCTGGCATCGTGAGATTCTCTTGGCATCCTGAGAAATGGGAAATGTTTTCCAGGATTAGTCGTTGCAACATTGGTTACTAGCAAATGGTTGGGAGCAACCTAAATGGCCGTCAGTGGAGGATCAGTTAACTGTGATGCGCTGTGTTCTTACTGTGAAATAGTCATGGTGATTAAAAAAGGAGGAAACGGAGGTGGGAGGGGGCGGACAGAGGGCGGAGAGAGGCAAAGGACACTCATCGGATACGGGAAGAGCCCATGCCTCAGGGTTAGGTGAGGAAGGCACGTGCGGACATGGGTCATGGTAACAGATTCATACACAGGGAGCACGGGGACGATATACAGCATAGGTGTTCCTTGAAAAGGTTGCCATTCCTTCTCCCAAAAGATGGACGAGAAGGTGCGGATTGTACTCCCCGCATAGTGGGGGCGATGTGGTGGGAGACTGACTATGCGCTGTTAGACCTCGATGTTTAAAATACATGGGTGCATGTTTGTTCGACAGCTTCAGTGGTGCTTTTTTAATAACCAGAATAAGATACATCAAAAGAGGGGAAAATACTTAGAATTGTTTTCGACTTCCTTCTCCTTAGGTTTTATAACATAACTGTAATTCATGCTTTTGCGTTAATAGGCAGTGAGTTAGTGTGTAGTGCTGACAAGTAATTTTGTGGTGTTCTAGAAGTACGTGTGTTCTATTTATTAATGTAAAATGCATCACCTTTGAACTGAGTAAAATATTTCCTTCATTACATACTTTTTAAAGAATCCCTAAAATTAGCTCCCGTCTCAGGCCCTTTTGCCAATTGCCCAGGTGGCTGTACCCTCTCCCTCTCCCTCTCCCTCTCCCTCTCCCTCTCCCTCTCCATATATGTATATATGGTAAGCTGCCTCAAGATTTTCAGCATGGTATATTCCAAAATTTAATTTGAAATGTCCTCGTAGCTTAGAGTACCTTCTCCACAAAGTTGTGGTCCCAGCAGGTCCTGCAGGAGCCGGCGGTCCCCTGTGCCGGGTCCCGGTGTCTAACCCCGAGGACTATGCTCCGGCTCCCGGCTCCGCCCGGCTCAGTCTTCATCACTGTTGCTTCGTAGTGAGTGCTGAAATCAGAAGGCGTGAGCCCTCCACCTTAGTTCTTTTCTAGGATTGTAGTGACTCTTCCAGGTCCCGTGTATTTCCTTGAGAACTTCAGGATCAGCATTTCGTTTTCTGTAAAAAAAATCCAGCTGAGACTTTAGTAGGGCTTGCATGGCAACTGGACGTCGATTTGGGGAATGTTGCCACCTTAGGAATACAAAGTGTTCCGATCTATGAACATGGGAGAAAATGAGCTCTTTATCATAAAAATCAGTGTCAAACTGAAAACCTCACTCAGCCGGCCGCTCCTGGTCACCGACTGCCAGCTGGTCGAGCTGCTGCCCCTTCCTGGTGACCCAGCCATGACCCCGTCGGCAGTGACATCTCAGGACCCCTGCCTCTCCTGCGCGGCCCGTTCTCTCGGCCCACTTCGGGTGTGCCTTCCATGTCGCTCTTTGTAAGGTCGGTTTCTGGGAAGAATCATTTTCGGGCTGAGTATCATTCAGAATTATTTAGCAAAGGGGGTCCGGCCTCTTTCTCACTCCCTGAATCTTGTCCCTTTGCTGCGTATTTAACTGTGGTTACATGATATCCTGAAGAGCAGGCACTGAAGTTTGCCCCAAGTTTGTCGACACTGCTTTAGATGACGACCATGACATCAGGCGTTACGGCTTTTACATTTAAGCTCGAATTGGAATAGTTTGATTTTGTAACTGCGAAAAGGTCCTTTGTGTCCCAGTATATTAAAAAGTTTTATATTTCATGACATTAGATGTGGAAAAACAGATTATGGTAGCATACAAATGCACTATTATCCATGAAATCTGTGAAATGTATTTCTTCTATTGCAGATAAACATTGCCTATTTTTTCTCCTTGTTTACCTGTATTTGTGTGTATAAAGCATAGAATTAAAAATATATATACACAGATGCATTATATACATAAAATCTATAAATGGTATATGTATAGCATAAATAAAATTATACATGTATATATGTATAAATATATATGTGTGGAAGTCCTTAACACCTTTTAAAATATTAAGCTCTACATCACTTTTTCTTGTTTTTGCCCATATTTTTAAATAAAAAGAAGCCTCTCATTCTTTTTTTTTAAGAAACTTTATTGGGGAACATTGTGTTCTTCCAGGACCCATCAGCTCAAAGTCAAGTAGATGTCTTCAATCTAGTGTGTTAAAAGAGTAATCCTCCTCTGTCTGTTGTTATTTTAAATTTTTTGTAATGTATGTAATATATAAATCATTAAAGTCCATTTGGAAAATGAAGAGAGAAGGGCATTGCTGTAGCTTTATCAGCGTTTAGTGTGCTTCTGGTCTAAACAGAGGGATCTGCCAGGTTCACTCCTCCTCACCGTGTGTGTGGCGCGTGGACATGTGATGGGGAAACTTCCCCACAGGGGTATCTCTTGGGTCCAGTACCGGACTGTTCCCGTAACACAGGACATTCCTGCTTCATCAAGATTGGTGGCAGAGGACGTCCTGTCCCCTCCGTTTGTGGAATTCAATTCCAAGCGCCACTTCCATGAACTTGGCCTTGCTTACACGATACTCGTCCGTGCTCTCTTGTCATCAGTGGATTAATAACGTGTTTCCTGGGTCTGGGGACTTATGTCCTTTGCTTCCTTTACATGTGAGTGAGGACATACATAGCTACTGTGAAATTGGTGCGTCATAACCATTTTTGCATTCTTCAGTTTCACAGGGTGCAGTCCCTGGAAAGTAAACATTGTGATGTGATGTAATATTATGCACAGGTGCCATCCCCCTTGGGGTTCTTGAGGGGATGTAGTGCTACTTTGTAGAGCCTTCTAGAATCGGATGTGCATTGTGACATGGGATCACTAACTACTGTGTCCCACCTTAGTTGGTCATGGAAGCTGTTCTTCAGATAGCATCTCGCAGGATTCTGATCTCCAGCAGCCACTCAGAAAATGCTCAATTCACATATTGCTCAATTTTCTTCTCACACTTAGTTTTTCTTTGTGGGAAATCTGAGGCCAGCCTGATTTTTTGTTTCTTTCTAGTTCAGCCCCCTCCCCCACCTGCTTGAATGTGTGTAGGGCTCTTTTTCTTACTCTTTTAACAACGACAGAGACAGAAGCAGCTGTGTGTGTTCAGAAAGGGCCCGATGCGAAGACGCAGGCAGAACAGGGCGCCTCACGGAGCAGCGTGTCCTGGCCCCACTTTCCTGGTCATTTCAGGCCTGCGTCCTGGGATCTGCAGTGAACAGTGGGTGACGAGCCCACTCCTCGTGTCAGGGGCACATTGGTGTGCCATTGTGCGATGTACAGTCCATGATTCTTAGAAACCTACACCAATATAGAAAACTCCCTGGCACGTAGCCTATTGCCCAGTATGGTGGTAGGGACTGTTTCTAGTTACTTTTCCAATTTAAACTATTTTAGAGTGGTAACTAGAAGCAGCTCGCTTGACAAAGCTTAAAAGCCAAAGCTTCGTTTCCTTAACGTCCTCAATCCAGTGGAGGAGGCAGTGCTTTCCTTGGTACTGCTCCTCCGGGCAAAAGGCAGGTTCTCTGGGTTCAGGAAGCTCCTTCATTGACCTAAGTGGTACCAGAGTAATTTGACATGAAAATCATAGAACTTGGGATTTTGTACTTCCGTTTCTGCCTAGAAATGAATCACTAAGGTAAAAGACCAACTCAAAAGTTAGCACTATGGTGACCCAAACCACCAGCCTCATAAGATGAAGGCATTACACAAGTTAATTATTCGATGAGCACAACACTTAGTGAGTTCCACTCCATGTTAGGGAATGTCATTATCTGTGGTCCTACGTTATTAATCTGACTTTCATTTGTTCGCTTTCCTTTCTTCCTTGCTAGGTCAAACTGTGCTGAGAATATCCGCAAACACATTCTGCACACCGGTAAGCACGAGGGCGTCAAGATGTACAACTGCCCCAAATGTGACTACGGGACCAACGTCCCCGTGGAGTTCCGGAACCACTTGAAGGAGCAGCACCCTGACATCGAGAACCCGGACCTGGCTTACTTGCACGCAGGTAAGGGACCGGAACTGTTCCAACACTCGTGGTGTGTAGGAGGATTCCATCGTATCCATCCCGGCAGCTGTAATGCTGTTTGTATGTTTCCGTCCTTTATTCTGAGGCAGGAGACGACGGGAAGTATCTGCTCTGAGACTAACAAGAAAGTGCATTCCAGTCTCAGCCCGCTCACTAGGAAAACAGGCTTTTCAATTATATTTCATCAAGAACAAATAGGAGGATAATTATCCCAGGACAATGAAGTTAATAACAGCAAATGTTCAAAACGCAGTAGAACGGAAATAATGGTAGTTGTTTGTGCTTCATATTTTGACTAATTGGTAAAATTTTCAATTTATTATAAAAAGTGTTTATGATTTAAAATGTTATACCCTGTCCATTTGTCCCACTGTTTTCCAGTGAATTCCTGGAGAGGAAAAGTGTGGGACTGAGGAGAGAGTAGAGCAGAGTGGTTGGGGTGACACAGTGCCTGCCACTCTCCCCCAGAAACTAGGAGGCCCTGTCCCCCGGGTTTTAGGGACGTGCTGGTGATGGCAGAGGCTGCCAAGATTGTTCTAGCCACGTTGGATTAGAATTCAGGTACCGTGGACGGATCTGAGATGGAGCGCTCACTGGGGGTTCAGCACCCCTATTCCTGCAGCCCAGCTTTCTGTCTCATTGACAGAGGTGCCTTGAGTGCTGAATTCTTACTGTGCAGAACAGTGAACTGATGGACTGTGAGTTAGGGCACCTATTTCGGGAAGTCCTTATCCTGAAGGAAAGTTAGAGAAAGTTCAAAATGTAGCCTGAACTGTGCAGTGTTTGCTTAATGCCCGGGGATGTGGGGGGAAACCACGAGACACCTGGGCACCCCTCTCCTCCTTCCCCTATCGGCCGTGTGGGCACGGGCAGGCTGAGCTCCTGTACCTCGAATTGCTCACGTGTAAATCCATACGGCAGCTCTGTTTAAAGGGGAGAATTTAAGAAGGTAATGGCCGTGACTCTCTTAGCATAGCACCCTTTCTGCCTAGCGTGCTTGGGGATCATGGGTCGTGTGGTGATGCTGGGCATATGGTGAGAGTGTTTGAAAGTCATGGTAGGTTCCACCCAGAATGCAAGCCTTTGTTTGCAAAATAAGTAAACGACCTTTGCTCATATACTATCTACATTAAAGGAAACAGAACTTGATGGTAATTTGAGTTAGAATAATATTCTTAATACATTGGGCAATAGCTGCATATAAGGTTGTTTCCTGCTGATGTGTTCTTTCAGATTTATGTTCATATGGTCGACTTTTAAAGTAATGGTAGAATGTTTGATTTAGTAAACTCTGTTGTATCTTGTGGCTATTTTTAAAAAACCCAAACACAGGTCAGTGCTCTTTGCATTTTGGTGTGGTTGTTACTGGTTTTGAACTAGACAGTTTATCAGCTTTACTTAGCAAAAGCAGATAAAGTCAAATGGAAGTATCTCCTGGTCATCCGCACCCGTGGGTCCTTCATTAATATGGATGCATGGCGAGTCCCATCAGAACTGCTGCCCATCAGAGGAGGCATTCCAGAAACGGCCGAGCAAAACCAGCTCAGTTGATCGCGGCTTGTCAGAAAAGTGCCATTTTCCAGGTTATATCACTGTGCCTGCTTGTCCAGGTGCAACATTGCCGTATTCTGTCTCCTGTCCATCGCTCCAATTAGACATTAAACATGGGTTATTCCCCCAAAATGAAGAATCTCTAACTTTCAAAAGAAGTAGACATCAAAGGAAGGGGGAGGAAGCTTCTGTGAACCCCAGAAATCCATTCCTTTTGTTCCGCACAGAAGGAGGACGGCTTTGCTTCCACTCGTGATGCATGAGCCTGGTGTGGTGTGTTTGAGATATTATTTGTATAAAAAAGTTTTAAAATTTATACTAGTTTCCTTGTGTGTGTGTGTGTGTGCTCATGTGTGTATAACCATAGTTTTCTGTTTATATTTTTGTAGTTCTGTTAGAAACTTTCTGCTACCTGTCACAGTAACATTCCTCGGTATTTTCACAGAGGAAATCCATATGGTACTGATGGGCGTCAACTGTTTACCCCTCCCTTTGCATGGCAGATTGCTCATCAGTGGTATTTTTACTTTGATAATCGTAGTTTCTTTAATGGAAAACTTGAAAAGGGTAAAGTCTTTTAGACTGACTCTTTTAGCTTGTTATTCTCAATCATCTGTAATACATTGAAGGGTGTGTGAAGCAAGTCTTCCGAGTGTAAGATGGCCAATCAGACTGTTGGTGTTCTTCCTTGCATATTGTTTGATAGTGGAATCAGGCACTGTGGGTGATGGGTCCGTGATGGGTGGGACTGGGAAAGGTCGCGCCATCGCGTTAAATCTTAGGAGTGCTCTATGTGCAGCTCTGAATGATACTGTCAGCTGCGTTCTCTGGAATCTGCACCAGTAATGTATTGAGAATTTGGTAACCCCAAATTCAGTGAGGCATGTTGTGTAGTTCTTTTAATAAAAGATTGAGTTTAGGGCCGCCAAGTGGTGTGTTGGTTAAGAGCTGGCTTGGGACCCCAGCTCTGAGCATCAGGGCCCCGGTTTGGATCCCACATGAGGGCCAATGATGCTGCGCCCTCTACAGCTAAGATGGTGAACAGCTCAACCTGGAGCTGGACTGCCGTGAGTCACTGGCAATGGTGTGGGCTGCAGCCCCTGCTGCAGTGGGCTGCCGTGAGTTACATGAGTGGCTGGCAGCTGGTGTGAGCTACCAAGAGTCGCAGTGAGCAGCCGTCCAGTGGCCGGTGACCAATCTACCTCACCCGGGAAGAGCACAATGATAATACCAACATGGGCCAGTGAAGCGACGTCCTCCACAACTAGACTGAAGAACAAAAGGAGAGCAACTTGTCTGTTCCCCTTCCCCAATCCCCCAATGTTCCCCTCCCCAAATTCCCCAATAAAACCTTTTTTTCAAAAAAAGATTGAGTTTAAAATTCCCCCAAAACATGATAATCTCAAGATCTATCCATGTTGTCGCAAATGGCAGTATATCTAATGGCTGAGTAGTATTCCATTGTGTGTACGTACCACATCTTTTTTACCCAATCACCTATTGAAGGACACTTTGGTTGTTTCCAGGATGGTAGAAGGGGGAAAAGGGGGTCAAATATATGTGATGGAAGGTGAACTGACTCTGGGTGGTGAATACACAATGCAATATATAAATGATGGATTATAGAACTGTATGCTTAAAACCTATATAATTTTATTAACCAGTGTCACCCCAATAAATTTAATTAAAAATAATTAAAAATCAGAATACAAAATTTAAAAATGAATGAATAAAACTACCCAAGAACCTACAAAATACTCTGGTCCTGACGTGGCTGTGCCATGTATGTCAACATCTGAAAGACCATTAGAAGGAAAACATTAACAGAAACAGAAAGGATTGTAAATGATGTCATGTGGGGGATTGTAAATTTTAGTTGCGATACTGTTTGGAAATTTATACGTTAGAAGAAGGTATTTAAATTTTGTTGGAAAACGGCTCTGCAGAAGGAGGTGTTCCTGGGGATGTGCCCTCCTGGGGGCATCTCCGTGGACAGGGACCCGCCATTCCGTGGGTGATGGGGTAGCTGCGGAAACCACAGAGCCAGAGTCTGCGGGAGACCAGATCCACGTCCCCACATGCCACTTCGTGAGGCTGCGCAGATTTCCTGACATCCCTGGGCTTCCGATTCCTTATCAGCGAAGTTAGGAGTTTGCAGGGACAGCCTCTCAAGTCCCTCCAGGCGTAGCGTTCCTGGGGGTTCCTGTCAGCCTGGCCTTTGAAGGGGCATGTTTTCACTGCAGCTCTCATCCCTTGTTGAGTGATGCAGCAAACTGTGTTTACCATCTGGGTCTCTAGTGTCCCCTCTGTAATATGGGGACAGTGAGCTTTCAGATGATGGAAGCTGGTGGGTGTGATGCGACACTGCATCGTGGCAGCTCAGTGTGCCCTGTTGCTTCTGGTGACGAGCCACTGTCTTTCTTCTCAGTAATTTTCAGGAACTAGAAGAATGATTTTCATGTTATTTTCCATTTTATGCTCAGAGAATGAAAGGCTATATATAAGCTTAATTTGGGTTGCAGCTTTGTTTGGAAAACAAGATAAAGTGGTTATTTTTTAAATAAAAGTAGATTATTTAGAAACAGTATTCAATTTCCAGGCATTTTGGGAATTTCTAGTTATCATTTTCTTAACTATTGAAATAGTAATATAAATTGATTTCTAGCATACATCGACTGCTTACAGACATAATATGAATTTTTTCAATTCCTTGGAAGCTGTTTGTGCCTTCATGCCCAGCAATATGGTGAGACATACTAGAAAGGAGTGTAAATAATGGTATTGTTTGATGTTTTCGTCTGTGTTCCCTATATGTCACTTAGGTCAGGTTTGTTTACTGTGTTGTTCAGATTGTCTCTATTCTTACTGATAATTTCTTATGCTAGCTGTGTCAGCTGTTAAGAGAGTTATATGTGAATTTGTCTGGTTTTCCTTTTGATGCTATTAATTTTGGCTTTACATATTTTGAAGATATGTCACTGGTACTCAGAACTTTAGGGTTGTTTTATCTACATGCACATGTATGATAAAGAACATATATGTATTCCCTTAGAAGTAGGAATGCTCCCTTTTATCTGTAGTAATACTTCTGCCGTCATTCTATGCTTCACGTTGATATTGCTTCACAAGCAGCATTTAGCTTTATTTGCTGGGACGGTTTTAACTTTTTGTGAGAAATAGTCTTTTACTTGAGTATTTATGCTTAATATAATTATTGATACGTTCATCACAGTCAGAAACCGAACTACCCAAATGTCCATCAGGTGGCGTGTAGGAAGGTTGTACTTACCTGTTGGGACGGAACGCTGCACAGTGAGAAGGATTAACTACAGCTGAAGCAAACACACGAGTAAATCTCACAGTAATATCCGTGGATGAATCAAGCTACACACACAGGAGCACAGCCCGTATGGCTCCACTGAAGTTAA